GGTATGTGTGTTTCGTGCACATGTGTGTGTGTGTGTGTGTGTGTGTGTGTGTGTGTGTGTGTGTGTGTGTTTGTGTGTGTGTGAGGGCGCGCTCGTGTGTGTGCGCGTGTGCGTGTGTGTGTGTGTGTGTGTGTGCAGTGCAGAGTAACTCCTGCACTGTATGATGTGTCGAGTCGAATAACAGCCCAGTTAGTGGTTTCATTCACACGTCACAAACGAACTGCACATTTCTAGAGCATCTGTGGGTGTGAGTTATAGAATGTGGCTGACAGAAAACCACCTGTCACTGTCTTTACACACCACAGAGAAAGCTGAATAATGAATATTTAAAAAAGCATAGAAACAAACACAAAAACGTTGGTATTGATGCAGTAAACTAAGCGTGTTGTTGTGCATGTGTGTCAGTCGTTCAGCTCACTGCCTCAGAAGCCGCTCTCGGTCGACCTGACGGTGGAGAACGGACAGAGGTTAAAGGTCATCTACGGCTCTCACTTTGGGTTTCATGCTATCGATGTGGACTCGGGGACACCCTTCGATCTCTACCTGCCCAGTCATGTGAGTATTCTTTACATTCCTGCCACATTTCACACCACTAATAAATAACGTTTAATAAGTGAAGTACAGTTGTAGCACTGGGAATGATTCTCTACTGTTGCGAGGATGAACTCTCATCATCTGTGTGCACATTCACATTAGCTTTCACTGGGAAATGTCTGGCACATGTGCGATAATGGCATAAAATGATATCTCCATATCTTCTGGAATTTTGTCGATAATGATAATTAGAGAATATTTTGCTGAGCGTGGTATTGTGCTGGTATTTTGGCAGGTTTAGGACTGCCGTGGACAGCTGACTCCCAAAGCTTTTGATATTCTTCATATTCTGTCAGGTGGTTAGTTTGCAGGAGTAACAGAAATTAACTTTTCCAATAAGTTTAAATTGATTTTTACCTTTTATGGGCATGTTTACCTTTATAAGGCCTTTTTTTTCTGACCTAATTAAATGTATTAATTTTAATTTGATAAATTAATGTAAATTAAATGTAATCAATAAATTCAAATAGTAGGACACTATAGGGCTGTTAATAATCATATATAATCAGTAACAACACAATTTGTGTTTGCAATGCAGCGGTTGCACAGAATCTGCACCTGAAGTGTCATTTAGATGCATGTAGACTGTTTAATGCAGGACATGAATGCAGTTACAAATGCATACAGTTGTGCTCATAAGTTTACATATCCCTTTCAGAATATGGAAAATGTTAATAATTTTAACAAAATAAGAGGGATCATGAATGTATGCATGTTATTTTTTTATTTAATACTGTCCTGAATAAGCTATTTCACATAACAGATTTTATATATTCTCCACAAGACAAAAAACAGGGCTTAAAGTTCTCCGGCACCATATTTTATTTAAGCCAGTTATTATTGCCTCATGTCATACTAAAGCCTGGTATTCACTAATGTTTATTTGTGTTTCTAAAAATATCAGATTACTCAATTGTCAAAATAATCAGTAGATTACTTGCTTACCAAAATAATCATTAGTTACAGCCCTAGATTAGTTACAATATTTCAAAACACAACTGCATTGTTTTACTTTTTGCAAACAAAAGACACATATTTTGTCATTGAGAATTTCTTAAAAATAGTATTAAAATCTCGTTCTAGTGAATCAAGTATCTGTATTTTGTCTCATCTCAGCTAAGTGTATTGTCACACCCCTAAGTGTCGATAAGCGGTGATATAGCTCTTAATTTTCCATGTGTATGATATAGCTCTCATTCTTCAGGTCAACCATATATTCATGAAAAAAAAAAAATTGTATCCTTTCAAATGTTAAAGAAAGGACCGCCCGCCCCGCCCTTGGAAAAAAAAGTTCAGGCTCAGGATTTTTTTTTTATTTAAAATTTTTTTTTTTTGCTTTAACCCCTGAAAATAATAACTGAATTTATAAAAATGACCCCATTCAAAAGTTTACATACCCTTGAATCTTAATACTGTGTGTTGCTTCCTGGGTGATCCACGACTGTCTTTCTGTTCAGTGATAGTTGTTCATGAGTCCCTTGTTGGTCCTGAGCAGTTCAACAGCCTGCTGTTCTTCAGAAAAATCCCCCAGCTCCTGCTCATTCTTTGGTTTCCAGCATCTTCTACATATTTGAACCCTTTCCAGCAGTGACTGCATGATTTTGAGATCCATCTTTTCACATGGAGGACAATTGGGGGGCTCATACATAACTATTATATAGGGATGCACGATATTGGATTTTTGCCGATATCCGATATGCCGATAATTTTCAACTCATTTTGGCCGATGCCGATACGATATATAATTAATTTTAATATTGGTTAGTTTTTAACAAGAACTTATTTGTTAGAAATTAAATAAATTACTTTTATAATGACAGTACATTGAAGATTTGAAAATAACTATAAATAAACTATATATTAATCACTGCATTTTTTGTTTTTTTTTTCAGAAAGATGCAGTGGTAACCGTAACATTTTATTTTAAGTATTTAACATTTGTAGATGGTCTAATACAAAAGAGTTGTAAAAATTCTGAAAATCGCTTAGAGCTCATAATTTGTTTAAACATATTACACATTAATGAATAAATCAGTATATATACAATTATTTAATTTCAGTTTAAGTGTCGTCTGTGTTTTTTATTTAATTAATTTTTTTCATGTAAGCTATAGCTTCTGACCTTTAAATCAAAACATACTCGTGATTTTATGGCATCAATTACTACTTTATTTAATCAGAAAGAGTCTAAATATTATTTGTGTATGTATTCCTCTTATCGGCAAGACATATCGGCATAATTTTTCATATCGGGCCGATGCCGATATTTTCGTTTAAAGCCATCATCGGCCGATTCCGATATTTGTCCAATAATATTGTGCATCCCTACAATTATATAAAGTGAAAACCTTTACTGATGCTCAAGAAGGCAACACAATGCATTAAGAGCCGGGTGTGTAAACTTTTTGAATTGGATAATCAGGGTAAATTGTACTTATTTTGTCTTCTGGGAAACATTTAAGTATTTATGTAGCTTCTAAAGTGCAGTACCTAATGAAAAATATATGATCTTTTAACAAAATGGGGGGGAAAAAACACATTATCATCTTGTTCAAAAGTTTACACCCCCAGCTCACGTGTTGCCTTCTGGAGCATCAGTAAATAGCTTATTCAGGACAGTGCTAAATAAAAAAATAACATGCGGTTTTCATGATCCCTCTTATTTTGTTTCAATTATTAACATTTTACATATTCTGCAAGAGGTATGTAAACTTATGAGCACAACTGTACATAATGTTTTGATGTTTAAAAAACAAATGTTGAGTTCTGATATTTGAAATGATTTTGAGGAAAAAAGGGAAAATATACTTTAAATATAAACCTTAAAGGGTTAGTTCACCCAAAAATGTAAATTAGCCCATAAATTACTCACCCTCAAGTCATCCTAGGTGTATATGACTTTCTTCTTTCAGACGAATCCAGTCGGAGTTATATTAAAAATTGTCTTTGATCTTTCAAGCTGTTTCACTCAGCAGGTGTTGCAGTGCATCAGTCCAAAAGAAGTTAAATAAAAAGCGCCCATCCATAAAAAAAGTGTCTCACACGGCTCTGGTGGTTGAACAAAGGCCTCCTGCAGCAAATCGATGCGTTTTTGTAAGAAAAATATCCATATTCAAAGCGTAATAATCCCTTTAATGTAGCTTGCGCCAACAGTTGTACACGGAGCCATGTGAGACACTTTTTTTTATGGATGGGCGCTTTTTATTTAACTTCTTTTGGACTGATGCACTGCAACACCTGCTGAGTGGCATTAAACTTTTTTATGGGCTAATTTTCATTTTAGGGGTGAACTAACCCTTTAAATCACTGCATGAGTGAGTCATTGAGTCATTCATTCAACTGATTAGTTTAGTCGGTTGATTCATTCAGCAATGAAATACCGTCATGTGTTACTCAGAGTTGCAACACAGTTCTGCTGTGGATTTGGAACTATTTTTGTTGTTGAAATACAGCAAAAACAAGAATGGTTTTGTATTAAATGTAAGTCACTTAATATTAACTTCTAGTTTATTGGACTGTTTTATAAAATCAATATCACATTTGCAGTTAATGGAGAAAAACGTCACTCTTCATGTGATTAACTATAATAGACTAAATCACACAATTACAATATTATCGTAGACTATATGTTATATGCATAAAATCAGTTGTAGTGCTGTTATGTGTTCCCATGTTGACTGCACTCATGGTGGGACAATGTGTATCTGCCACCTTTTATAGACATATTTTTTTGTACTATATTTTGTTGGTAGACTGATGCACTTTGTTTAGTCACTTTGGCACTAATTTCAGAACACTGATGTCATTTTTCACTAAACTCACAGCAGTCATGTTTAACACAGGCTGCCCAGTGTTCACATGTGCTTTCATATCACTAAAGAAACCTCAAACTTGCTGAACCGTTTGATCAAAGAACTCATTTATCATCATGAAATACCACAGAAACATTCATTCAGATCACATACACACACTGGATACTGATAAATTCACTGTGTATTTGATTGTACAATCATTAAATGTTGTAGTACAAAACATGTGATACATATTTCATTATGATGCTCCAGGAAAATACCTACATCACTGTAAGAGAGAATAATACAGACACAGTCACTCAATAAACAAATTCTGATATTTACAGTATTGATGAAATACAATCCAATAGGTTTATTTGAATCAAATCGAAGAAAAAACAAACTACAGTTAAAGCAAAAACTGCTTTACAAGAGCCTGCAGACATAAGGTCAGATCTGAAAGCTGGTGTTTGGGACCAGAAGCAGTGCTGATGTAGTGCAGTTAGTTCCTGTTCAGTGGGAACTGGTGTCTGTGGATCCCTTCATTCTGAAACATGATCTAAACACTAAATGCAACATTTATCATTTTGATAGACAAAGACAATAGTGTCATTGTCCAGCTAAATTCAGTTCGAGTTTTGATCTCATCTGAAAAGGAGAAAAAAAA